ATCCGTTCCTATGCGGAATTTCCTTAACTTGTGCTACCACCTCTGTCAAAGTACTCCACCTATGCTGATTAGGTTTCAGTTCTTGTGTCAAGCAGAGCCAAGATTGACGAAGTCGGCAAAAAGTTCAGAAGGTACGAAACGGTGACAAGAGCTAAGATCAACCGCGATAAGTTTGTTGTCTTGCTGTTGGGTGCATGGAAGAGAGTTTCTCTTCCCGAGCCTTTCCTCTGGACGATTGGTCCTGTCAGCATACACTAAGTCTGATTCGGTCCCGATCTCCTTATGGAAATGAATTAGTCAGAGGTTGAGGAGAAGGCCGAGATCACAGTTTATCTGTTGTCTCGGAGGAATCATTCCTTAGAGAGGCGTGCGGAAGAACGTGCCTTGCACATTTACTCGATACTCCTTTACCGACAGTCCGTGTTTCCACCATCGTATACCACACTAATCGGTTTAGATAGAGTTTTGTTCTCCTTCTTGTGAGGAGGCAAGGCTCCCAAGGTAATCCGGAAGATCTGTTACTTTCACCCTTCTGTAATCGATCTGGGTATGCCTAGCGTTGAGATTCGTTAATATACGCTTCGCGTCGTGTTCTTCCATCGAATGTGTTTGCAAGCGGATGACGAGAGGGAATTCTGGAAGGAAGACATCCGTAAGAACTTCCCATCCCTGAAAAGTGTGCACTCATCCAAGGATGAGGCCCCTTTTTACCCCGAGACGAGTGCTCTTTCTATCGTGAATGTCGGATCGCTCTCTAGCACCTTTTACTGGCAACGGATAGTCTCTCTGACGTCCGGGTGTTGTCTCGTAAGGCATTATATCATGTGTTAGGAGGTCCATTCAAGATGAACTGATAGGCGAACTCGGTCCTACAAAGCAGAAAGCTCGCTCCATATGGCCTGGTTGAAATACCTCACTACTGAAAAGGCAAAATACAACTGGCTGTTGATACAAAAGGCCTTCTGGGTTGGCAAAAGACTTTGTTCGGCTGACTTGGGAAAATTTCTAAACTGTGTTCTCTATGGTGAGACTGTGGAGTCTCTGGATCACACCTTCCACTGCAGGGTCGTAGTTCCGCTCTACGTGGACGAGAAGTTCACCTCTTCCCAGCCGATCTTGTACTTCAAGCATCAGCTTAAAATCAAGATTAGGACGGAATTTAGTAAAAGGTGTCTGAGTCTTGCGCGTCTTTGTAGAGTGAAAGGAGCTGACTTGGAGTAGCATTTTAATATCGCTTAGGCATCAAGATATTGGGATTTCCGTGTTGAAAATAGGCAACCCCGTCCAAAATATAGTTTAGGTTTGTTTTATCCTTTGTCTCTTCCGTCAAGTTATCAAGGGAAATGTATGCTCATTGGCCTCTTTTATTTCTGTCCTCGCCTTTAGTTTAATTCTCCTGTTAAGTGACAGAGATGTCAGTTCTCTGGTAGTTGCGGTGCGCTTTTCGTTTTTCGAGTGTGTATTTCGTATTTGTTTTTGTATCTGGATGAGTGTGTGTTTGGTGGTCGAATGATTATTCTTAGTTACTTAGTCTCGCATTAATTTCGTCCAGTTAACTGATTTTTCTGTCACATTTAAGGATTTTTTTAATTACTAACACTATTTGTTTTGTTTCTTGTATGTAACACTATTTTATTACTAACACTATTTTGTATTGTTTCTTCTTATATAATTCTTGTATATAATTTGTATTCATCGTAAATATTCATTCGGGTTTCATTTTTAATTGTTGTTATTTTTATTCCCCATTCCTACAGACAAATTGTACATGTGAGGACTAGTTAGGACAGCATAGAGACTTGAGGTATTATGATGGCTGTAGTAAGAATAGCAAGTAAAAATCTGTTATTTTGCAGTAAGAAATACTGTGGTATGTTTGTGTCAGTAATTATGGCCGGCTAAGTTCAAGATAAGACAGATTGAAGAGCAGACTTCCTCTATTCCATTCTTTTGGCCTTGTGCTACATTTTTGTATTATAACAAAATAAATATTACTTTCCTCTATGGTACTTTGACTTTATGCAAGGCAAGGTCTCATCATTTTACAGCTGAAATAGCTATATATAACCGTAAGTTCTACGCTAATAGTTTATTCTCTTGCATCTTCCTCCTGTGGAACTCTCTTCTTGCTTCTAGCTTCCCAGACATCTTTAATCTTCAAATATTTGAATGCAATATAAAACGTTATCTTCTGTCTTCTTTATTCTTTTATTGTTCTATCTCCTTAATAGTATATTTTTTCTCATATTTCCTAACATTCAGTAACCCCCTTGGGTCTTAGTGGCTTTATTGTCTTGCTTGCGGTGAAATAATTAAAAAAAGATTTTACAAGAACGAAGTTGACTGTAAATACTAATACACTTATATCTCTTTTAGTTTGATATTTTCTTTCATTTCCTATTTTTTGCGGTGCTGATTTGAATACAGAACAATGTCATCATTCATTTTACTTACAAATCTTGCTTGAAATGGGCCTGGTAAAACGTTTCTTAATTTTGGTAATCAATTAGAATGGTTTTAGAATACGTTTGATGTTTAAGCCCTGTTCAGGATTTAAATCTTACAGCACTGACACATATCAATTATAAATGTTATTACATGTGGATGAGATTTTAAACTGTGTTACATCCGGTAATATAAGTCCTCTGTTAAAGCACATAAATCTCACACTAAAATTGATAGATTTTGTCTAGTTTTTAATTTAGAAATTTGCGGTTATCTCGTGCAGTTGGTTATCCGTAACTGCGTCCACTTGTTTGGGATATATATATATATATATATATATATATATATATATATATATATGTGTGTGTGTGTGTGTGTGTGTATGTATGTATGTGTGTGTGTTTCGTTAAAAACGACTGACAAGGTACTGCGATTAAGCTTTGAATTTAATTTTTCTTGTGTTCCTACAAGTGTTTTCTTTTCTGGACACAAAGTGTGCAAAAACTGTTCAACTGTTTTGCATTTCCGAGTGCTTTCGACAATACTTTTAGACAATAACAAGGATGATTTATATACTTTACTTTTTAACTGAATGTACGAGTTGTGTGTATGTATCTAGAGTTATAGGGATGTTTTATTTTTCCAGACACGGTCAGCACATGATGACCGTGTTCATAGTTAATGTTACTGAGTGCTGGCTTTTTCTTTCTTATTATTGGGGCTTTCATTATTTTTAATCTTTTTTTTCTTTCTTTTTTGCATATGAATGAGGTTATCATGCCTGTATTTTCAACTAGTATGTTTTGGATTCAGTCTGGTAGGTTTAAATTAATTCTAATAGATAGATAGAGAGATAGATAGATAATATTAGCGGTCAGTATATATATATATATATATATATATATATATATATATAAATTTCTAAGAGGCGACCAATCCCCAGGAAAGAGCAAGAATATAATATTAAAGGCTCAAACACTAATATTCCATTGTTATAATTTATTACATTCGAATCGTAATCACGATCCAATGTAATAAATTATAACAATGGAATATTAGTGTTTAATCCTTTTATTTTACATACATACATACATACATACATACATACACACACATATATATATATAAAGATGGCTGGAAAGGTACTGCGATTAAGCTTTTTATTCAATATTTCTGGCGTTCGTATAAGAGTTTTCTTTTGTGGATATATATTGAGTAAAAAAACTGTCCGAATGCCAGAAATATTGAATAAAAAGCTTAATCGCATATATAAAACATTCCAGCCATCTTTAACGAAACTTGCATCTCTCTCACTTTATATATATATATATATATATATATATATATATATATATATATATATATATATTATTATTATTATTATTATTACTTGTAACCTTTGTAACATATTGACAAGGAATGGTGGCTTATCATCTATAGAGTATCAGACAAGATTTTTTGTTTTGTGCCTCGACTGCTGGAATTTAAGCATGCTGCTAGATTGGCAACTAGGTTTTACCATTTTACTGTTGAACTAGATAGATGTAACCGTAGGTTTTATTTTTATAGTTTTCTTTTCTCGTACTGTCTTCTTGAAACCTTTTCCTTTATTGTCCTTTCGTCTCTTCTCCTCACTAAAGTTTTCTCGTTCTCTTTTACTGCCCGTAACACCCTGCCTTCTTTTAGAATTAGCGCCAGTTGAGTATATACCGGGTGTAACAGCAAAATTGTTCACATAGTGTAACATCATAATTAACCATCACTAAACTGAGTTTCTTTTTTCAGGTTTTCAGACAAAACGTTTAGTCATCTTGACATCATTTTTGGTAAGAATCACTGAAAAACCTTTTGAATTATTCAGTTAAAAGAAGGCAGGTTAAAATTGTTTGGGGCCAGACCCACTGTCTCAAATGGGCAATGGAGAGAGGAAAAGATCATTCAGAGCTTCAGTAATACTGCCAACATACTCTGGCTTCCATCGTCAAAGTCCATTTAAGAACTATGAAGAGAACGGTCAATAAGTTTTAAAAAGAGGGAACAGTAGAAAGGAAAACTGGATCAGGAGGTAACAACAGCAAGAGGGATCATCATTTCAACTTAGACCTAAAAAGATCATTTAGAAAAGATCCAACTCAATCCATAAGACGTTTAGCAAGTGATATATATATATATATATATATATATATATATATATATATATATATAGGTAGGTAGGTAGAGAGGTATACATGTGTATCTGTACTGACATATAGATTGGTATATATATATATATTACCCCTCACCGGTAGCACTACTCGGAGTTTTATACACAACGCAATCTTCAAATCTTCAGGTGCTGCGTATAGACTGACCGTTACGAAGTTGTAAATTTAATAAAAATATCTGGTTACCGCAATGTCAAATATTATACAGGGATTACAGTTTATTGTTTTTAAAATATATTAGGCATCTAAAATAAATGAGTTTTATATATATATATATATATATATATATATATATATATATATATATATATATATATATATATATATATATATATGAAATATAAAAATCTCGTTGAAACATCAGTTCCTCTACGATCACCGAAGTTAAACAACGCCGAGCCTGGTCAGTAACAGGATGGGTGATAGCTTGAGAATATCAGGTGCTGTAAGCTTGGATGTGCGGGTCGGGTAATGGATAATGACTTGGAATTGTTAATCGGAGAGCCGAGTTCCAATTCCCGTTGTGTTCGTTATATATTCACTTACCAGCTAATAAACTTGGAAAAGAACCTCTTCTTCCCCATCTATGGGTTAATTAGTAAGACGTGTTTCACTAAGCCATTAATATCTCCAACAATAAAAAAACAAATTCTTACAATCTAAAATATTTTCTGGCTTTAAATAGGCTTCAAAAGCTTGATAAGCCCTAGAAAATGAATCAATCAAATCAAGTTATAAGGACTTCTCGACCTCTTGGTTTGAATCAATCAGTCAATGAAATACTGATTAGCTACACAGGCATGTCTTATTTACATTATCTGAAATATGAATAGAAACTATCCTGGCTACAAAGTGAGGGATCATTTTATATATTTATTGTAATTTAGAATTATAGCCACGTTATAATTGCTTGTTTGTTTATCAGATTTTGATTAGGTATGAATCCCCCAGTTCTCCCCCAGCTATGGGTTAATTAGTAAAATTTGTATCTATAAATCATTATTATCCCAAAAACATTCTTACAATCTAAAAGCATTTACTGGCTTTAAATAAACTGTAATGGGTTGATAAGCAATAAAAAAATAAATCAAAGTATATCATTAGGAATTCTCGATCTCTTGGTCTGTTGATGTTAATTTCACCATTTGATAAGCCGTAGAAAACAAATCAATCAATCAATGAGCGCCTATTGGAAATCATTGTTAATCAATGACGAGTGAGTTAGAAATTCACTATGAATTTTACGAATGTTGCCTTGTGCCAGACTTAACTAAGATTGGCTTATCAATTCATACATGCCAGGGTAGTCTACCATAGAAAGATATTTCACGATCTAGTCTCATGTATCATTATTCGTGTCATGGGTTCAATCTTTAGTAGCTACCCACCACTACTGCTACCCTATACCAGACTAAGTAACGCTTAATACACATCTGCATTAAATAAGAGATGAACGTCAAATCAAGTATTCAATGATTAATTACATTTTTCACTTAGACGCATTACATGCTGTCCATTATGAAATAATAATCTCATAGTCATATCCCCGATATCAAGCCAGAAATACAATTTTAATACACCTTCTAATGTATGCTGCTTTAAAGCTCTTAAGTGCCCGGATAATTCGTTGACATCATGTCTAATCGACATATCATTTATTTAGCGAAAACATACATTTGCTTTGGGTTAATTCTTAGTCTATTCCACATGGCTGCAACGTCTTTTTTCAAAGTTTTAAAGGCATCTGACAGCCTTTGGAAACAATGGAATCTACCAATGTACGAGGGCGAGTCAAAAATTATCCGCACTTTCGTCATAACATATCTTTAGTTTTGTCACGCTGTCTTCTGTTCATGTGTGCTTATAGTTAGTTCTATTGTAGTCACATTATCGAATTTTAAGTTTGATTGTGCCAGTTTTCTCGCAGCTGGTACAGTGTAAACATGGCCGCGACGCCAGCAGTGTCCACCAAGGAGGAACTAAAAGAGCAGTGATCCGAATCTGCAGAAAACATGCTACCTCATTGATGATAAAAGTTCAACTATCTGGGAAGGTTTTTAACATAAGACTTAGATATTATTTTACAATCCTATTTCATAAACTAGTTTCTTAAGATTCGGTTAGTTCTTAACTCGCATTTAATTATTGTTTAATTAAATGTAAATAAAGGCAAAATTATTATCAAAATCAAGCCGAGTAATTATGAATAAAACTAAGAGCTTTGCGTCTGAACGAATTGCCTATCAACCACGGATTTCAAATATGGATTTTTGAAAACTGCTGTAATATACGATTGTAAATCAAACATTATTCGCTCCTTCACCATAACATATCTTTCGATTTGTTACACTGACTTCTGCTCATCTGTGCTTATACTTGCTAGTATTATGGTCAAGTGATCGAAGTTTTAGCCCTATCGCGCCAGTTTTCTTGCGGCTGTTACAGTGTAAACATGGCGGCTTTGCTAGCAGTGTTCACTAGAGAGGTACAGTTTATACAAGCATACAAAAGCGCATGAATAGGTTTATATCCTGACACGTAGTAATTAACTGTGTATTGCTCTGAGAATTTCACAGTATACTCTTCGAACTGATATATATGATATTCACCAGAGAATTAAGTGAATTGACAAGGAAGGAAAATATTTGTCGTGTAAAATAAATGCCTTTTCATCATTAAGCAATGGACATACAGTCGCGCTTATGCGTAGAGAATGAGCTTATATGGTCTTATTTTCCTTTCACATTATCATATTCCCAGTTATTTAAGAAAAAGTATGTTTCAACATATCTGTTGCAAAGAGACAAATTCTGTACAACAGATATGTTACGTTACTGTTGGCAACATTCTTCACCTGCCTTTTACTCTTTCTCTGTCTCCATATAAATATGTGTATACACCGACGTGTGACAAATACTATATATCTATCTATATTTGTATTTTCTATCTATATCTGTTAGAGAGGTAGATCTGGAAAATTGAGATAGATAGATAGATAGATAGATAGATAGATAGATAGATAGATAGATAGATAGATCTGAACAGATTGAGATAGATTTATAGTATCTTTACAGTGCAGCTGATTTGGATAGATAGATAGATAGATAGATAGATAGATAGATAGATAGATAGATCTGAACAGATTCAGATAGATTTATAGTATCTTTACAGTGCAGCTGATTTGGATAGATAGATAGATAGATAGATAGATAGATCTGAACAGATTCAGATAGATTTATAGTGTCTTTACAGCGCAGCTGATTTAGATAGATAGATAGATAGATAGATAGATAGATAGATAGATAGATAGATAGATAGATAGATAGATCTGAACAGATTCAGATAGATATATAAATTTATTGTCTTTTCAGTGCAGCTAATTATTAACTTGATTGCGATAGATAGATAGATATATTTGAACAGATCGAGATAGATTTATTGTCTTTCCAATACAGCTGCTTATTAACTTGATTCTTCTAAAAAGAAAATTTATATTTACAATTGTCAAATTCATCTTCTTCGCCATGCCATAACTGTTCAATTTGCAAAAATGTTCACTGATAAATACTGCAATGTTGATTCTCTACAGTCGAAACGATGGAGTAACAAGATCAAGAAGCTGAGTTGTCCAAACGAAACTTTGAATGCTAATCTCACTCACCAGTTTTTGGTTAAATGCAGTGGAACCAATTTCGAGCAAATCATCTTGAACATTCCAAAGCTTCTGGCAAAATCCATTCTGCAGCAATCTCCATTAAAATACATTAACTATTTCCCCTCGATTTATATCCAAATTCCACAGTTAACAACTTCCAGACGATCATCTTTTGCTCAGCCTGCAGCGAAATTCATTCAACAGAACGCTATAAACACTCATCGACATATAAGTCACTCCAGCTTTTTAATCTTCTTAATGTAAACTTATCCTACAAACCAGACAAAATACTTAAATTATTTTGTTTTTCTAATTTTTCAGTTTGTCTTTTGTTTTTGGCCCGCAACCGACTGCACGAGTCGACCTTATATCAAAATTGAAATACCTATCAAATGGCGCCTCGTTTCAGACGCTGCAAAAAGTTGCAGAGTCTATTCTCCGGAAGAGGTGCTAAAATTATATCACTATAAGAATGGGCCAGTTGCTTGTGTCTTTTGTTTTAGATACCAATCTCTACAATCTCAAAAGTACCTTATACTGTGTAGCAATACCCACTTAGAATATTTATTTGATTGTGTTAAAAAATGTCTTGTTTTCGAAGATACATCCTTGTATTACGCCCTTTTCATTATGTGTCTTTTCACCACACTTGTTCAACCTATACAGTGAGGCATTCCTGAGTGATTTAGAAGTTCTATCAGGATTAATTACCGGCGGCCACAATCTTAACAACATTAGTTATGCAGATAACATAGTGTTGATAGCAGACACAGAAAAGAAACTACAAGAACTCATACAGAAGTTAATACCGAAGTAAAAGAAAGCGAGAAGAAAGGACGAAACATCAATTGCAAGAAGACAGCTGATTTGGATAGATAGATAGATAGATAGATAGATAGATATTTGTCTTTTCACTGCAGCTGATTACTAACTATAGATATAGATAGATAGATAGATAGATAGATAGATAGATAGATAGATAGATTGTCTTTTCAGTGCAGCTAATTATTAACTTGATTTAGATAGATAGATAGATAGATAGATAGATAGATAGATAGATAGATAGATAGATATTGTCTTTTCACTGCAGCTGATTACTAACTTGATATAGATAGATAGATAGATAGATAGATAGATAGATAGATAGATAGATAGATAGATAGATAGATAGTTGGTTGTTTGGAATGTAAACAGCCCAACAGGCGAATTACAAATTGTAGACATTAAAATATCTAGGAAGCGTTTTAATAGACGTCGGAACAAGAGCGACCGAAATCCGAAGACGCATTGGGGTAAAGAAAGACGCCTTCCAAATGATAAGCAATGTATTAAGAAACTGGAAAATTTCATTAGAAACAAAGAAAAGAGTACCGAACTCTTATGTAATATCGGTCCACCTGCATGGCAGAGAATGATGGACAATTTCATCATAGATGAAGAAAAGACTTCAGGGAACAGAAATGTGGTTCTATAGAAGGATGCTGAGGACACCATAGACCGAATAGGTGAGCAACAAACGAAGTTTTATAGAAAATGGAAACAAAGGACCACTTATATTTAGCTGCAAAAAAGAGAAAACTGAAATTGCTAAGACACGTGATGAGGAAAGAAAGACATAATTTAATTTATGATTCATTTCTCGTCTGTAACATTTTTAATCATGTCATTCTCAACCAAGGGTATAAAGCCACTAAGACGAAAGGGATTACTGGGAGTGCAAGAAACAAAAAATAGTAAAAAAACAGAAATTAAGAAGATAACGATTGATATTACATTTAACTTTTTATAGATTGTAGTTGATAGAAAAGCAAGAAGCCGGAATAGAGAGCCACAGTCGAGAAGTGCGAGAGAAGAAACTATTAGAATAGAACTTACGGTTGCATCTAGAAATGTCAGTAATAAAATGATGAGACAGCTGCCAATGTAGTACAACCTAATACTCTAGATCAGTCAGTTATGTATCATACGTAATACACGCTTAGGTGATTATGTATCTTTCGATACATGACTGACGAGGCAGATTTTATTTTTCTGAAGTAGGTTGCCATTTCTTTTTTCAGTAGACCAGTTGCTATGGAACCCGGTCTGTCCTACTATTTACCCATACCTAGGGGTAGAAGAAAAATATCCATACCTTTTCTAAGAGTATTAGCAAGTAAGTGAATGTAATGGATTCAACTGGAATTCGAACTCGGCAGATATACAAGGAATCAGTCAGTTATGTGCCATGCGTGATACACGTTTAGGCGATCATGTATCTTTCGATACATGACTGATGAGGCAGATTTTTTCCCGCAGTAGGTTGCCATTTCTTTCTGCGGGAGACCAGTTGCCATCAAAGGTTATATAACCCGGTCTGTCCAGATATTTACCCATAGCTGGGGGGAGAAAAAGAGGATTCATACCTTTCCCAATGGTATAGGGTGACCCAAAAAAATGGGAATTTTTGAAGTGCATATTGCCAGATATGAGCAAGTGGCAACACTGCGAGACAGCGACCTTGTGCAAGTTAACATTTCGCCATTTAGAATTCAAGATGAAATTCACAGTATCCCAGCTGAGATGTTGCAGCAGTCAATGAGGAATCTCAACAGCAGATTTCAAGAATGCATTCGTACAGGAGGATGCCATCTACAAGACGTAATTTTTAAAAAATAAAAATTCCGTCATTGTTTCTTAAATGGCATGTCTTATGGTTTCAATTACTATGAATAAAATATTTTTCTTCCATCACTCTTAGTTTTATTGGATTGTTAAAAAGTTCCCGTTTTTTGGGGTCACTCTCTATTAGCCCGTAAGTGAATGTAATGTATTTGACTGGAATTCGAACTCGAGTCTCCGATTCCTCAATCCGAGCCGCTATACATTATCCAGGACCGATAGCATTGCAGATTCCTTTTTGTATTTTTATCAAGGATCTCTTCTGTGGGGTAGCACCAGTCAAAAATGTTTCTCTGAAATGATTAAAAGAGAGTAGTTTAGTTTTGGCGGTCATTTCTTCTCAGTTAACACAAGACTGGAAATCATTTTCGACATCAGCTGCCAATTGTCCTTTATCGAAAAAAATGTTAATCAATTCATCCCAAGCCAGGCGGTAATGTCACTAAGGTACAAGGGCTTACTGTGAGTGAAATTTGAATGATAAATACTTTAGAAGAAACCGGAAACCAAATCCTAACCAGTAAAAAGGGGATAAACCTCTACTCCTGTCCAAAAGCCTGGAGGGGAGTGGGAACCAGATGGCAGGCTATTGTTCTTGAGGAAAGAAAAATAAAGTAAATAAAAGGCAAATAAAATTTCAGAGTTTTAGGCGGGAAAATTAGAAGTATAGAGTTGAATTAGACTTTAGAAGAAACAGGAAACCCAATTCTAAACAGGAAACAAGGGATAAACCACTCCTCCTCTTCAAAAGACCGGGGAAATGTGTGAACCCAACAAAAGGCGAACCTATAGAGGAAAAATAAATAAATAAATAGTAAATAAAATTTCAGATTTCAGAGATGTTAGGAGTATAGAGTTGAAGTAAAATTTAGACTGAACCGGAAACCGAATCCCAAACAAGGAATAATCCTCTACTCCTGTTCAAAAGGCCGGGAAGGAGTACAAACCTATAAGAATTACCATTAAAAACAGGAGTAAATACTTGTTACATCGGCAGAGATATCGAGAAAATGAAATATTGTGTCAAACAAAAGAAAGTCAATTATTTAAACTGATCGATATTCCTTAATCTAAATAAAAAATCAACACTCTTTTCCAAGTATTCCATGAAATAGAACTTCAGAAAAAAATTTACAAGACAGAAATTCTGACTTGGAACTGGAATGAGAATAATGCTAACATATATCCTGAATTCATTGTAGAAATTCAGAATTTGGGATTAAGAAATTCGAATCACTTCAAATACTTCGGTGTATGGAACAGCTATAACAAATTTAGTATATGAAATCAGGAAATTTAACATAGGATAGGTTGCGTTTAGAGAACGTTTGTCTAATACCGTAAGATGCTAAAGATTAAAAACATTAACCTAAAAACTAGAACCATGTTCATGAATAACGTCGTCGGATGTAGACTATCATATAGATGCCAGCATGGATTCGAACTCGTTACGAAAAGTTTAAATTATCAGCTATACACAGCCGCTTTCTCAGAACAATGATTAAGGCCTTAAAGAAGACAATCCTTCATCAGACTCTATAGACTACAGAATCACAAAGAACTTTGCCAAAACACACATCACATGAAAATTTCCAACAGCAGCAACCACATATAACTAGGAGGAAAAATAATACATTATACACTACCTACTTAAAAGTTACGTCTCAAATGCTTTATCTCCCCTCTATATAATTCTACAGTTTAATAACTCGAAAACAAGATAATCTTGTTCCAAACTTGCGTGTCAAGGTTTCATGCACCAAGCAATTAGCGTTCGTAACTCATACGCAAGTTTCGATCAACAAATTTCATGGTAAGTACGTTCAACTTAGGAAATTAAAAGCATCGCCATCTTTTTTTTTTTAAACGCATGCTTGTGCTTCTGATAAAACAGCTAAAATCCTAGGTTATTTGCTGTGTAGCTTTTTGAAACAACATGCCAAATTGAAAACATTCTAATAGCATTTACTCAATGGGCGAAAATGGATTTTGCTTGCACAAGTAAGAATCAATATTTGATCAACACAAGCTCAGATTGGAAGAAATAAGGATAGAAGGATTACATTGCGCCAATTTTCCAAATTAACTTAAATATTCCCATTCAAAGTCCTGCTGATGTTTTCTATCGCCAACATTTGTCTATCGTCTATATGCGCATATGTTGCTTTTGGTGGTCATTACAATTTTACAACAATATTCTGCCTTGAAAATCAGCATTCGGTATCCCGGGTTTTACCGTGTCTCAAACTCTTGCCTTTTGCTACTCTGAAATAACACTGTCGATCAAAAGACAGACTACAGCAGGTTATTTTTATCGTGTTCCTTTAGAGCGTGCGTATACATAACTCTCCACGGCTTCCTTTTCTTTATCATCTGTGAATTTCCATGCCTTCTTGAGGGAAATGGTGGAGAGTTTTCCTTCTCCACGGTTTACGCAAAGTTTTCCATCCGCTTCCCTGGCTGTCACTCAAGGAGAGAGTTTACCTTGCAATAGCTGGCTGGGGGGATGAAGAGACAGATTTGTGCCTTTCCAAAGTACATTCATGCGAAAAGGAACGCAACATACTAGACTGAAATTTAAACTCGGCTCGCCATTCAACTTCTATTTCTGCTTTGTGTCGTGTCGCTTCAGGACGTAGGTGAGCATGACTCTCCAAAATGTCCTGTCCTGTGTAGCTCTTAATAAATTTTGTCTTTTCTTCTAAACCTTGTTCCACCATCCATTTATTTAAGCTCACTATGTAGATTATGCGTTGTTTTCCTACGTCCTCTTGCCTTCAATTTGACCTGTGAGTACCAAATTTTCCAAGCCCTCTTTCCTCATTATGCGCCATATATACAAGCTGCCTGAGTTGTTCTGATTTCTTACCAAAGAAACACGAAGATAATAGGAATTATTACGCCGGCCTTTCCTGACGATCCGCTTAGGTGAAACCTTGGTAGGTTTGTCTGGCTCTCTAGGTTTAACTAGGTCTGTTCAACTCATTGTATTGAGCACTTTATTTAGTTGTTTTGGGTACTAGCATCGGTTTTTTTTTCTTTGGGCTTTGAACTCGTATGCTGGACGATTATTTTCGGTTAACGTACATATTCTTGGTTCTTTCTTTTTTTTTATACCTTTTTTTCCCTTTGGTATTGGCTTGTTTATTTGCAAATCAATACACCGAAGGTTTTCCGAGTGAGTATAGTTTCTTATACTTATAAGATTTCTGTTAATACATATATATATATATATATATATATATATATATAAGCCTGACTAATAGTTCCATGCATCATCAGTTTCTTTTGTGGAAAAGATACCCTCGTCATTACAACGATGGTAGCTGGTGTGTACATAATATGCACACACCCACTCAACTCACCGAAGGAGGAAATATCCATACAGCCAAGATGGAAATACAGAAGGTAATGAGAATTATTTTCTATCGTAAAAATAGTCTTCCAGGTCCTAGATTTTAATTTCTGAGCTGGCGAGGCTAATGAATGTAACTCGTTATAAGTTTTGCCAGAGTAGGAGTGATAAAATAGGGAGAGGATAATGACATTTTGTCTGTAGGAAAGCAGTGGCAGGGTGGAACTAATAAATTAACTATTCACTAATTTTACATATTAACCCCTTCCCCGTCAATTATTTTGGGAAAAATGTTTCATTTTCAGACGATTATTTATTTGTTTTTAATATAGTAACTAAGAAACTAAGGCACTTTGAAGTACACGGACGGTGGCTAACACCTCTATGAGACGTATCAGTTGAAAATTACACTCGTTTCAATCTCAAAAGGGGATAAAAAGAATCAAGATCAATGTTTCAACCCGTCTGTAGCTTGTTTTTTTTTTTTTTTTTACATTGTTTTGGGCGTGTTTATTCGTCGGTATCTGAAAAAGACACTTTCGATTAAAACGTATATACACGTTTACACCGGGGAAGGGGTTAAAATGTTTTGTACTAGCATAAGTAATGTTAGTTATTCCGCATAGACAACTTACAGATAATGTCCATCTTCTCTTTGCTCTTTCTTTACTTATATTTTCATACTGAACACCAAAATATATGAAAAGATGAACACATTCCACATATCTGCTCTATTTTTGAACTTGGTGTATTTCTTGCGCTTTCCATATGAAACATTTTAAAAGTAACCAGAAAACAAATGTGCGAATTTAATCAGTTCGGCTATGCATATAGGATTACTTTTTTTTTATTCTTGTGACTAACGAATGTTTTCAACGGGAAGATGGCATTAACCTTGAAACGTAAGCAAGAGAGCAAATAATCAGCGGGTTTTTTTTTCACTCATTCTCTTGCCATTTTACTCAAGTTATCCCCCCCCTGTTTTTTTTTGTTTTGTTTTTCTTGTCCATTGCTTTTTCTTTGTGTCAGTTGAATCTTTTTTATTTCTTTTATTTTCTCCATCCACCACAACATTTTATTTATTACAATCTCTTTTCCTTTTCTTGCTTTGTCCCTCTCCTTCTCGTTCTCTCTCTCTGTCTTTCTGTTATTCGCTCGCTTTCTCCCTTCCTTTGTCTATATTTTTGGCCTAGCTTTATTGAGGTACACAGCCACATGTTAAAAGCTTCTCTCCTTGTTTAAATTCTAAAGTTAAATGAACAAATCTAAGACATTTTGTATATGAAAGAAAGAAAGAAAAAAAAAGCAAGAGAGAAAAGGGATCAAATGTTTGACAGGAAAGCTAAAGAAAGATACAAACAAACAAAGGTTGGCAGGAAGGCAGAAAGAAAGAAAGAAAGAAAGAAAGAAAGAAAGAAAGAAAGAAAGAAAGAAAGAAAAAGCAAGAGAAAGAAGTTTGACAGGAAAGCAGAAGGAAGAAAGAAACAAAGAAAGGTTGACAGGAAGGCAAAAAGAAAGGAAGAAATACAAAAAGGAAGAAAGAATAAAATAGAACAAACGCAGGTTAACAAGAAAACTGAAGAGAGAAAGAAAAAAGAAAGAAAGAAAGAACGGTTGGCATTAAAGCAAAAAAAAAAAAAGGGATAATTTTTTTACCAGGAAAGCTGAAGAAGGAAAGAAACAAATTAAACTTTTTATTTAATTTTTCTTGTGTTCGTACAAGTGCTTTTTTTTCTGAACATAGTGTGTAAAAACTTTCGGCTTAGCCATTATCAAGGACGATTTTTATTTTTTAACTGGATGTGTGTTTTTTTCTATGTATGTGTCTAAAGTTATAGGCATGTTTTAGTTTCCAAACACGGTCGGAACATTGTGGCCGTGTTCATAATTAATGTTATTGAGTGTTGGCTTTTCGTTTTTTTATTATTAGTGCTTCCATTATTTTTAATCATTTTTTACATGTGAATGAGGCTATTATACTTGTATTTTCTACTAGTATGTTGCGGATTAAGTTTGGTATGTCTATGTGTATGTTTAAATGAGTCTTAATTGGTCTATGGTCGGGTGGTACGTGTAACGTGGGTCGTCTAGATAGGTATCACAAGAAAAATTAAATAAAAAGCTTATTCGCAGTACCTAGTCAGTCATTTTTAACTTGTATATATATATATATAGTTAAATCTAGAGAGCCAGACAAACCTATCAAAGTTTCACCTAAGCGGATCGTCAGGGAAGGCCAGCCATAGATACAAGCTGCCTAAGTTGTTCTGATTTCTTACACGAAGGCACGATTTCTGATTTCTTACACGAAGGCAATGGGAATTATTATGCCAGCCTTTCCTGACGATCTGCTTAGGTGAAACCTTGGTAAGTTTGTTTGGCTCTCTAGGTTTAACTAGGTCTGCTCTACTTACTGTATTGAGCACTTTATTTAGTTGTTTTGGGTACTCGCATCGGGTTTTTTCTTTGGGCCTTGAACTTGATGCGAGAGGATTATTTTCGATTAATGTACATGTTCTTGGTTCTTTCTTTTTTTATATACCTTTTTTTCCCTTTGGTATTGGATTGTTTATTTGCAAATCAATGCACCAAAGGTTTTCCGAGCGAGTATAGTTTCTTATACTTATAAGATTTCTATTAATAATATATATATATATATATATATATATATATATATATATATATATAAGCATGACTAATAGTTCCATGCATCATCAGTTTCTTTTGTGAAAATAGGTATTTTATAGCCCCTAAGCTACCCTCGTCATTACAACGATGGTAGCTGGTGTGTACATAATATGCACACACCCACTAAACTCACCGAGGGAGGAAATATCCATACAGCTAAGATGGAAATACAGAAGAATGATCATCACTTGGGAGAGCAAAAAAAAACAAATTAGAAGCGTGTCAAGAAAGTGCTCAACTGCATAAGACCTCGGCCAATGAGCATGACGCTAACACTAAAATAGTGCACGACAATACCTGGCTCAAATTTTGCTATAGTAATTGAATAATGTTCTCGGCCCTTTATTTATTAGTCGGCCGGATTGAACCTTGCTATGATGGAAGACTGTTTTTCCTTAAATTTACTAAGAATTTTCAAAATGGTGAAGCTTTATCGGAAAATTGTTACTCGAAGTTACTTGAAACTTGCTTCAAACTCTTACTTTGGAAATGACATTGCCGATGAAAACTCGCTGTCGTTTCGTTAGCTTACATAATGTTGGCTTCCCAAAATTGGTAATCGAACATATTCAAAATTATTCTCATCGAACTTGGAAAAATTTCAGTACGCGCCAGATAATAAAAAAAAAACCTTGTAAGCCTAATGAGTCCATATAATGCGCCACATTCGAAACATACCATCAACTCAAACCAACTGGAATCATGAATCATTGGCTCACATACCATATTGCTATGCGTACAGGGTCCAATTATCAATGTCACGAACTAAGGCGAGTTGTTGTGTCCAGGGTTGTAGTGTTAATAGGTGTAACCTATCGAGTTTTTGCCTCATAATCCAATGGAATACGAAAAATGCTGGACTACCCACTCAGAAAGACGTCTGCCACATTTTGTATTAAATGTCAATGTGATTTGAGCCATTTTAGAACATAGGATAAATTGGTTTTTCATTTCTGAGATAAATAATTGTCAGTATACTTTTTTTTATTCGATTTATGTTTCTGATCTTGATTGTTACAGATGTAATTATAGACCCAACGTTTCGGCCAAATACTTTCTGGCCATCATCAGCTATCCATTGTTTTGGCCGATATGGAATATCTATTGATTATTGTATTGCTTGACCCTGTGATGCAAATTGTTCGTTCCTGCTGAACCAGTTTTTACCATTATGAAAATCAGTTCGAGCCCGTCATAATAATCAAATGTAGAATTCATTTTATATCGAGTCGAGTCATTTTATATACGTTTCCATACACAGCAGCATTCAAAAGATAAATTAAGGACCATAGATTTGTTTATTACACGTAGGTCCTGCGTTCATATAGAAATATTGAACAATTTGAAACTATTTTGCTCCGATTTAGTTGACAGAAGATCACTTATTTACTTTTAATCTGAATATTCACATTTAAAGTTCTGCTGAGGTTGTCTATCGCATGACATTTGTCTATCGTCGTGTGCGCATATGTTGTTTTTTTGTGGTCATTACTCAAGTGTTAAATGTTGGAATGCAAAATTAAATCTGAAATACTTTAGAAAACAATTTTCACCACTGAATAAGGAAAAACCGATTTGATGAAAGTTATTCAGCTTTGAAAGTGGGTGTATTGTTTGTGGGTTTTAACCTCAGAAAATATAACCAGCTCTCCAGTAAATAAATGATGAAAAGATTTATACCTGATGACCATAGCAATGAAATATAAACCTTATGTAATAATGTAAGATCTGTTAGTTTGAAAAACCGCAATAGATAGATAGATACAAACTGATATAAATAGATAGATAAATTTGAATAGATAGATCTTAATAGAGAGACCTGAATAGATATAGATAGATCTTAATAAATAGAACTGGATAGATAGATAGATAGATAGATAGATAGATAGATAGATAGATAGATAGATAGATCTGAATATACAAAGATATATAAAGATATATTAATAGATCTGAATAGACAAAGAGATATAAATCTGAATAGATAGTATAGAGCGATAAAGATAAATCCGAATAGACTGTGATAGATAGATAGATAGATAGATAGATAGATAGATCTGAATATATATAGATAGATTTTACTATATAGATAGATAGATAGATAGATAGATAGATAGATAGATCTGAATATATATAGATAGATTTTACTATATAGATAGATAGATAGATAGATAGATAGATAGATAGATAGATAGATAGATAGATGTAATATACATTTGTTCATTTTCATACACGTATCAATCATGTAGTTACTTAATCGGCAGCTACACATTTTTATATTAAGTGTATTGTCTATTTGAGAACATAATTGAACTTACCTATCGTGATGCCTGCATGAAACTTAATGTTTGCTTCAGTGGAATTCACATTTGCATTCAATGGCACTCGAGTTCTTGATTCATTGGATGCAAGCTGAAGAAATAAAAACCAGTTATTTATCTTTTTTTCCTAAACACCTATTCAATACATTCCAGAAGCATTTGAGACATAAATCAGAATTTCGTGTCCACTCATGTAGACAGTGATCCACCAGAGAATTTAAAGATGATTGCAATACACACACACACACACACACACACACACACACACACACACACACACACACACACACACACACATATATATATATATATATATATATGGTAATTTATATATATATATATATATATATATATATATATATATATATATAATTTTATGCATTCATTGAGTTTTTCTTAGAAATTAGTTTGCTTACATTTCGGGTACGACAAAAAAGGAGCAGATATTCCCAGAAGATCTAAACGGGGTGTGCATTCATGAAATGAGTAATTGAACTTTTCTGGGCCATAAGGCTCACTGTCGCTGAGCGGTCTGAAGCATATCGGATCAGATATTGGTTTCTTGTACAAAGGAAGTGGCAGGTTCAAACCATGCTAAACATTTTTTTAATCCAATTCACCCCAAGCAAAGCATTAAGAGACAAGTGATTACTGGATGTGTAAGAACCAGAAAACAGAAGCATTACGTTTTCTTTTTTTTTTTTTTAAGCATTTCACCCCCAAGCAAAGTGGGAGTGCCACTAGTAAGCAAGGGCTTACAGAAAGTGAAAGTAATGGAAAAGACTTGGTATAAAGGGAGATTTTGATGAGACGTTAAAAGTAGAACGAAGAACGATAAAACGAAAAACGGGGATCAACGCATCATAAGATGTCTATTGACATTACATTTTTACGTCTGCGAAAAACAGAATCATTGTCTTCCTCGCATCTCTTATCCAACATTTACCCTCCTATTCGCTGCGGGATTATCATTTTTTTCCGTCCGGCACAAATTACACCTTTACCAACTCCGTTTTATGGTCTTGATTTCGGTAGTACTTACCATGTGGTGGTACGCGCCTCTTTTCTGTTATCAATGGTGTCCCACTAATAGTTTGAAAGCGCAGTTCTACCTTTCTATTTACTGACTGATTTTCTGATAGTCGTATTGTTATATATATATATATATATATATATATATTTATTTATATATATATATATATATATTTAATATATATATATATATATAAATTTATTTATTACTGTATTACGTCTGTCGGCATGCACAATAACATAGACATCCATCTCTTTGGTCCAATGAATGAGGCATCGAGGGGCAAACAATATGGTGGTGATAAAGAAGAGAAAATGCTGTAAGGAGTTATAGGAAGCTGGAATATATGCCTTTATTCTTAGTTGGAACACTGACACTGAACGAGGTTGTGCCTTGAGAAGTATTTTCAGTCAACATGAGAATTTTTTATTTTGTACTTGTTTATGGATGCATTCCTTTTTTACGGATTACGGATACCTGTTTTCTTACGTCAATCTTTACAGATATATATATATATATATATATATATATATATATATATATATATATATATATATATATATATATATTGGGTGCGCGGTGGTGTAATGGATATCAGATCGGATTGAGAAATCGAAGCATTCGTAACTGAAGATTACGAATTCAATCGTGTTCATCATATTCACTTTTTTAAAAAAAAAAACCGGTATCACCCCATGCAAGGTAGTAAAGCCACTAAGGCACAAGGGGTTACATAGTGTGGAAGAATTAGGAACAGAAACATTAATAATGAGTCGAAAGAGAAAAGAGTAATCATAGCGAAGAGCTCATCCGAACACTTAACATGAATGTATTTATAGATAAGACACAGAGAGGTAATCTTATGGCGGTGGGAAAGTGATAGAAGCTGAGCCAGATGTTGACCAATAATATTGCTGATTCTTCTTTGGATTTTATCAATGAATCTTACGTTCAAATACTCTTTGGAAATGTATGAATCTATCTCTTCTTCCCACTCCAACTAGAGGAGGTACGGTGGAGTAATAGATAGCGGCTTGGATTGCGGAATCGGAGAGCCGAGTTCGAATTCCAGTCGAATCCATTGCATTCACTTAAGCGCGAATCCTCTTCTTCTCCCCCCAGCTATGGTAAATAGCAGGACAGACTGGGTTCTATAGAAGAAGGAAAACTCTGAATTCAAAACCGGAGGGTCGTTTGAGGACCTTGCACCAGGTCTCTGTAATCAGCCCTTCAAAAAGTGTGGATGAAACCTTCACCACTATAATCAAAACTCATGTGTTGAATGTCGTTACAGCTATAGGTAGGTAAACAAAAAATCAATTCAAGTGTCTCCAATGTTCTGTTTTATATTAATGATCTGACCAGGAATATTCTCAGACCTTTGGTTAGTATTTCTGCAGATTAAACCAAAGATTGCGAGTGGACCTCCCAAAGCTGATCTCTCATTTGACCTAACCCTGACGGCTTATGAGTTAAAGAATTGGCTAGTAACATTCAGTACTTACAAAACCAAGCTAGTAAAGTTTTATCATCACCGAATAGTCCTTGAATTTACTCCAGTCCCTGTAAACGGTTGTACTCTCAATGAGACTTCTTAACTTGATTTTCTACTGGGACTCAAGCTCAAGATCTCAAGGGGAATACGATCCATTACTGAAGATTTTGAGTAAATGACCTGTTCTTTGTGCCGCTTCAGTAAACTTTGCAAACCTATCGCTAATCTGTCACTATTTCCATGGCAAATATTCAAACGAGCTACATTCCCAAGTTCCACCAGTTCGGAAATTTACAGTTAAGACCTGTCATGCCATATACGCATAGGCGAGCCAATCTCACTCCCTTCATTAGTAAGAGGAAAAGAGAGCTTCTTCCCAAGAATGGCTACTCTGTGAAACAAGCTTCACAGACGATTCTTCTCTACAATCTTAACCTCTTTTAATTCTAGGATCAGCCGTTATATATGCTCCATATCCTCATATTCTGAACTCTTACGTTCATACATCACTCAGTAACCTTCTACCTTGCCTGGCTCTCATTCAGTAAAAATATTTAAGGAAATAAATGTGTCATGTAAAAGATAAATGTTTTCCATTCACTCTAAACTATACACAAATATTTTTTGCTTGGTTGTTTTTGGTTAGTGGCATATCAAACTCGAGATTTGTTGCACAAACATACAGCAATTGTGGCCAAAATATTTTCCAACCTTAGCTTAGATGTTGCACAAGGCCGAATGCATGGGGCACCCAGTGATGATCGAACTCAATATTCAGTCATAATTGATCTAGCACGACAAGCTTGCTAACCATTACACCACATCGAAGTGTCCTAGCAGCATATCAACATCCCTATGGGGTATTTAATGTCGAAATCTAAATATTTTGTATGCAATTCTATGGCTCCAACTACAGATATTTTGTACATAATTTTATGTTTTCAGGGTAAATGTATATCTTTTAGATATATAGTTTGTAGATGATAAAATCTTAGTCAGTACCAAGATGGGTGACCGCTTGAGAATACCAGGTGCTGTAAGATTGGATGTGCGGGTGGTGTAATAGATAACGGCTCGGGATTGAAAATCAGAAAGCCAAGTTCCAATTCCAGTTGGGTTTTATGCTTTCATCTACGCATATTTTGAACGCAATTTTATGCATTCAACTACAGGTATTTTGTACATAATTTATACATTCAAGGTAAAGGTATGATTTTTAGATATAAAGTTTGGAGATGATAAAATGTATTGTTTGTATTTTTTAATGCATTATTGATACTCTGAAAATCTATTCTTATACTTTTTTAGTATTGTATTGATTGTCATTTTGCTATAGAAATGTATTTTGAGCATTTTGACATAAAATGTATTGTTTGATCATTTTACTATAAAAATATATTATTGGTAATATTTTTTAATAAATATCTAATGCAGGTAATTTCACTACTAAAATGCATTGTTAGTATTTTTTAATGAATTGCTGGTATTTTTACTAAAAAAACATTTCGATTGGTGTTTGAGGGTTCACTATTTGCCATAGCTTGGATTGTAACAGGTGCTACAACCCTGGGTCAGAGAAGACCTTGGAACAACAGCAATTAAGAAGGGGTTCCGAGATCCTCAAAACCTACACTCTTTCGATCAAAGGCCTTTCTGTCGGATGTAGTTTATCCTCACAGATATATTGATATATAATAATATATTTATAATGACGTCTCTTAAAGAAACAAATTATTGGCAACTTTTATTTGTATTGTTTTACTTTTATTTCATAAACAGATATATTTACTGGAAAGGAATCTCTCCACTTTCTCCATATCTTTTGTACAAGTTGGCGATCATCAACCCGACGATCAGTAATCCGGTTCAATTTTTCACGGGTCAGCGTGCCGGGCCTGCCACTTCGGTTTAGTGGTGCCAGCTGATGCTTCGATCACGAGCTAAATGGTGTTCCAGTAACTTGGACCGATTTTAAATGTGAATTAAGTTTAAGCGACTAATGTATTTTTTTTTTCTTTTTCTTTCAGATTTGGCGGACATTTGGGTGATATTATTTTTCACACATAATTGCCATGACTTATCCAATAGAGAAATAAATAAATTTTCACCAATAACACTGATTTATTTACTGCTGACTTTGATCCGTCTTAATGAAACACCCTTATATATAATCCGTCTTAATGAAACACCCTTTATATTCCTTAGTTCCCTCAACTCTAACTCTCATAATTGAGATATGACATGCGGCTTACACTATGGCAAACCACTCTCATTCCCTTCGTATTTCATTAGTGAGAAATAATTCTCACTCGAACAGCTTCTTCCCATGAAGCATTGCTTTGTGTAGCCAACTCCCAAGAAGATGACTTTTCGACCACTACAATCTTAACTTGTTCAAGTCTAGATTTTGTATCATTTTCAAACACTGTTAAGATATTTCTGTCTTTTCTCATTTTTATTGTTATAAACTTCTAACTTTTAACCTTGGCCATGGCTCCAATAAATAGAGGAAATGCTTTTCATGATGTGAAACGCAGTCAGCATACATTGTCTATAAAAGTATGTTTATAATGTATCATGAAGTGATTAGTTGCTCGGTTGAGTGTATTCTAATGTAACCATCTTTAAACCTGTAAAATCATTTATCCAGCACACAACAGGTTCCACTGATACCGGATAAACGATGGTCAACTCGTATTTTTATTTTAATAATGCACGTTTTAATTGTTACATGTCGGACTATGAACAATACATTTTGTAGAATATACTATTTCTTTCTATGACACAGGAGAGAGCTAGTTATCTTAAATTTTTGATAATTGTGACAATATAGTAAAGGAAATCAGGAATAAAGGATTAACCCTTAATTATAAGCAGATAGAAAGTGTGTTTGTCAGCCAAAGGGGCAGTCCAAGATGCGAGCTACAAACTGGAGATGTTAAAATCAAGCAACTACAGGAATTTAAATATATACGAATTGTTTAAACAGAGGTAATTGTGACACCGAAATTCGAAGACACATTAGAATATTGAAGGATGCTTTCCAAAAGTTAAACAAAGTATTAGGAAACAAAAAAGAAAATTGGTTAGAAACATAGAAAAGTGTGCGGAAATACTGTGTGAAATCAGTACTCATTTATGGCAGGGAATGCTGGGTAATTTTATCACAAATGAAAAGGAGACTTGAAGCAAAAGAAATGTGGTTCTACAGAAGGATGATGCGAATACAATGGGCCGAATATGTGAGCGAGGAGGAAGCCTTAAGTAAAATAGAAACAAAAAGGACACACTCAATTGTTACTACACGTAATGAGAAATGAGAGCTTGGAAAATTTAACAATCACAGGTCATATTGAAGGGAAGAGATACATAACCTATCTCGCAAGCTATTGGATTGCAAAACAGGAGTGGGAAGGAATATAAAACGACAAGCATGGCTAAAAGCGAAAAAGGATGGGAAGTTGTTGAGAGCCATGATCGCCTAATTCCTGAAGGGATACGACAGATAGAAGTAGGTTTTGTAATGACGAAAATACAGCAAAAAAGTGACTTCTATTGCAAGTGTTTTATTTTCCATTTTATTGGGTGTCAGATATATTCATTCGTTTTTGTTTTCTTTTTTTCTTTTGTTTTTGGGTTGTTTTTTTTTTTGTGGATTGGTTCATATCGCCACTCAAAAAAAAAAAGATTTTTTTCTGACAATACAATACATATTTTTACATAATTTATAAAAAAATTCGTAACTTTAAAAATGATGACAAAGCTTACATTTTAAATTACCTCAACGGTATTATTTTTTTTTCTCTCAGTGTTTTTCTCATTGCATTTATCGATTCTTTTCCATTGTTCTTGTGTTGAAATTTTTGGTTTCATCACATTATGCAACATTCAACTTGCAATTAAATTTAAACAGGCGACAGTTGAATAGGTAATCTATTCAGACACAAACTTTAACCATTTTTATTTTATTTTGCAGTAAGGTTTACTCTGTATAAGGCCCAGGGGCCACTCGAAGTAAGAGTAAGAGGTAGTTTGGGTGGATAGGTGGGAAGATAACGGTTAACTCTAGACTTGAACACATTAAGATTGTAGTGTTCGGGGAAAACATCCTCTTGGGGGGGGGGCGGTTCCACTGAACAGTTACTCATTTGAATAATCTGTTCGAATAGAACTTACTTCTCACCAATGGAATACGGAGGGAGGTTTGATATTATGTGAGTGGCATAGCGGATCCTGGCCGCTTTTGGACTCTTTCGAAACTGGAATGTGAAGACTGTGCAGCTCCCCACCCATCCCCCAAATACGATAACGGTACTCCGTTTTAGGCCTGATCTGGCTCTTTTAAAGTTAGAGGATAGTACGAGGAATCGGGTATTTTCGTGGACGGTACAGGAAACCGACCATTTTTGCTGCATCTTTAGCAATGGATCGTATTTACGAATTCCAATTTAGGTCACGGGTGTGTTTAAGGCCAAACAGTCTGTCAAGGCGCGGAACCTCCCCGGGGAGGCATCCATTCATCGTGACTGGTAATATGAGAGTTTGGGGTGTGATCAACGATGATGGAATATAACTAGTTTGGTTTTCGATACATTGAATGTAACCAGCCAGTTTTAACCCCGCTGAGAAGTTAAATCAAGATCAAATGAGAGATCAACTTCCAATCTCTGGTCGTCACGCTTTTTTTGAGGTGAACTTGAACTTGAACGCACACAAAAAAGAATATTTAATTCGAAAATGATACTACAGTATATAAAATGGCCACATCTTTTTGGCTCACGGATTAAAACGTTGGTTCATTGGTGTAATACTAATTGTGACTTCAGTCCTTGAGACGTGTAAATACCGACTCAATTTCACTCACGCTTACGGTGACATCACGTTGAAACACCGCTTCCCGTACAATCACCGAAGTTAAGAAACGCCGAGACTAGTTATTACCTTGATGAGTGACCGCTTGGGAATACCAGATGATGTAATGAATAACGGTTCGGTATTGTTAATCGGAGAGCCGCGTTTCAATTCTAGTTTTGTTCGTTATATTCATATATGCACAAATATCTTTCGGGAAGGTATGAATGCAAATCTTTTCCTGAACCCCACTCTATAGGTTAATTAGTAAGCCTGTCGCAAAATTCGTTCAAAAATATCAGTCAGCTGTATTAAAACGCTTCCTTGCATCAATGATTAAAAATGACTCACGTAGGTCGTGTCGGATCATGCTTCAGCTATAAAATCACAAAAAAAAACCTGTACCAAATACCAGAAGCAATAGCAACTAAAATGAATATCACATGTAACTTGAAGAGAAGATAGTGACATAATCAAGAAAAGGTTAGAAAGGGGACCCCATCAATATTGGAAAGAGCAATAACAGTTAGTGGACTTGAAAAATCTATTTTTCTGAAGAATTATATGATTACAAATGCTCTTATGAATTTCAATTGAAAATACCAATGACTGTTTGGTCAGTGGCAGCAAATATTGTCATATAAAGAAAACTACTAGTATCGTTGGCATAAAAATATACTAGAAAAAGAAAGACACTCGTTATGTACATAGATAGATAGATAGATAGATAGATAGATAGATAGATAGATAGATACAGACTTGGGTATGAATTAGATAGATAGATAGATAGATAGATAGATAGATAGGAACAGACTGGGTATGAATTAGATAGATAGATAGATAGATAGATAGATAGATAGATAGATAGATAGATAGAGACTTGGGTATGAATTAGATAGATAGATAGATAGATAGATAGATAGATAGATAGATACAGACTTGGGTATGAATTAGATAGATAGATAGATAGATAGATAGATAGATAGATAGATAGATAGATAGGAACAGACTGGGTATGAATTAGATAGATAGATAGATAGATAGATAGATAGATAGATAGATAGATAGATAGATAGATAGGAACGATCTATCTACTCCAGTGAGAACTTTCACTGCATAAATATATCAAATTTTAAACTTCATATTTACAGTATTTACACTGTTCGGATTGTTGTCCTCATCTTTGTTGTCATATTCGGGTAGCGAACATTCTAACCAGTTGACCACGATATAGGATACTTAAAAATATAATGCAATTTAATGTAGTCATAAAATGTAAACGAACGTTTCGATGTGCCAATATAATTTTCTGCATTTTCCCTACTCGGTGTCCATTTATTCCGATTAGATGAAAAAAAAAACTTGTTGTCCGAAGATCATTACGTGATTAAATAGATTATGCAATCATTGGTGTCGATTTGTTACCAAGGAAACTAGTAACAAATCGTTAATATCATTCGTTGAATGCAGATCGGTATGTGTGAAACAAAGATCGGTTGATGTTTGTGATATTGATCCGTTGGTGACTAAGGATGCAGACGGATTGACTGGTCAATCGAAAGTCACAACTGTACACTGACTTCCTCCTTTGGTCACATGGCAAAAAGCTATAACCGGTCTAGCATGTGAAACCCAACGGGACGAAAGTGAAAAGAGTGCTCAGTAATTATAAACCTTTTTTATGCATATATACCATAAATGTTCGAATAGGCGCCTCTTTTCCCCTAAGAAAATTAAAATGAGTGACCTTCTCGAATAAGAGCCCCAGAGCTTCTAAACGAATATTTCTTTTAATCATTTCACCCCAAAGCAGGGCGGGGTACAGGTAAACATGAAACATGAGAATAGAGAGGATTTTTTAAAAAAAGACAAAAGATTAACGGAGTTCAAGAAGACAGAAGATTGACCTTGCATTTAAATTTTTGCAGATCGTAGTTATCAAAGAAGTCAGGAAACGGAAGCGAGTTCAACAGGCGGGAAGTGCGAGAAAAGAAATTGTTGGGGTAGAAGTAGGTATTTCAACAGTAAAAGGGTGAGTCCTAGATGTCAATCTAGTAGTACGTTTAAATTCATGCATTTGTGTCACAAGAGAAAAAGCTCGTCAGAAATAGTCACCATGAAAATATATGCAGAAAAGACAGAGAGAAGCCACGGACGTGAGAAGCTGACTGAAGTCGAGATGCCAAGTCAAGATCGATTACATTACAGATCTTTCTTTGGATGTTGTCAAAATCTCAAGATGAACAGCAGGAGCACCAAACCAGGTATGGCGACAGTATTCAATGCACAGACGAATGATGAAGAAAAGGGGCCGGTTTATTTGGATCTCTAAGTTTAAAGACAAGCATGAAATAGACTGTTGCTGTTGACCTCAGTGTTCACTTTATATTTACATATGATTTATCTCCGATATTGAGCATTTTTACCTAAAATATAGCACGATTTAAAAATATATTATATATATATATATATATATATATATATACATCGGGGTAAAATGAGAACAAATGAAATATAATTCCACTGTTCGTAACATTTAATTTAAAAGAGGGCTCAATACAGTAGTTTACTACTCGCCAGTAGTTTACCATCGTCTGAGGAGACACATTTGTAGTGTTGAAACAATTGCAATTATGTAACGATTTTAAAGTTTTTGTTTTAATATCCTAAAATATATATATACATATACATATATATATATATTTCAAAGTTATTTTTAGTGGCAACTCATATGAGTAGACGCTCCGTTTATTTTAAACAGTATTTTATTTTGTAAGAAATTATATAAAATTTCACGAATGTTCAGGCCCGATAGCCGTATTTTAAACAGTATTTATTTTGTCTACCTGCCTGCGTACCCGAAAGGAAAAGTTAATAAATAAAATGACCTATCATATGCCGGCTGCCACATTTTAAGTTTTCTCGTGTAATAAATACATATATATATATATGTGTGTGTGTGTGTGTGTGTGTGTGTGTGTGTGTGTGTGTGTGTGTGTGTGTGTGTGTGTTGGTACAGTTGGTATGGAGTTTGCCTCCTATCGTAACTGTTCGGTTTTCAATTCTCGGTAGTGGATGCGCACTGCTGATGAGTCTCTAATTTTCATGGGTCCTTACCTATAACTACAGAATGAACTCTTCCTAACACTATGTATACTACGCCTCTCAAAAGAGAGGGTCGAATCAAGCCGATCTTTTCGACTTGACGGTCGAACTCTCTGCTTTTGAGCAGAAAGGAACCCGGACGAGGCTCCGCCGAAGGGCAGAGTCACGTTCGGGGAGAAATGACCAACCCGATCTCGTTTATACGGGCATTTTTTGGCTGAGCCTACGGGCTCAGGAAACCCACGATAAACTCAGCCTTGTGCCACATGCAACCTTTGTTGGGGGCTAGATACAGAATCAAGCCGAGCTTCTCGACTTGACGGTCGAACTCTCTGCTTTTGAGCAGAAAGGAACCCGGACGAGGCTCCGCCGAAGGGCAGAATCTCGTTCGGGAAGAAATGACCAACCCGATATCGTTTATACGTGTTCTACGGGCATTTTTTGGCCGAGCCTATGGACTCGGGAAACCCACGATAAACTCGGCCTTGTGCCACATGCAACCCTCGTGGGGGGTGGCTAGATACCGAATCAAGCCGAGCTTCTCGACTTGACGGTTGAACTTTCTGCCTCTGAGCAGAAAGGAACCCGGACGAGGTTCCGCCGAAGGGCAGAATCTCGTTCGGGGAGAATGACCAACCCGATCTCGTTTATACGGGTTATACGGGCTTTTTTTGGCAGAGCCTACGGGCTCGGGAAACCTACGATAAACTCGGCCTTGTGCCACATGCAACCCTCGTGGGGGGTGGCTAGATACCGAATCAAGCCGAGCTTCTCGACTTGACGGTCGAACTTTCTGCCTATGAGCAGAAAGGAACCCGGACGAGGCTCCGCCGAAGGGCAGAATCTCGTTCGGGGAGGTTGACCAACCCGATCCCATTTATACGGGTTATACGGGCATTTTTTGGCCGAGCCTACGGGCTCGGGAAACCTACGTAAAAACTCGGCCTTGTGCCACATGCAACCCTCGTGGGGGGTGGCTAGATACCGAATCAAGCCGAGAAGCTCGGCTTGACGTATGAACTTTCTGCCTCTGAGCAGAGAGGAACCCGGACGAGGCTCCGCCGAAGGGCAGAGTCTCATTCGGGGAGCTTGACCAACCTGATCCCGTTTATACGGGTTCTACGGGCATTTTTTGGCTGAGCCTACGGGCTCAGGAAACCCACGTTAAACTCGGCCTTGTGCCATATGCAACCCTCGCGGGGTGGGGTTAGATATCGAATCGAGTCGATCCGATAGTAGTTCACTCCAAACCAGACTGACAGTCATACTAACACCTGCCACATCTTGTATTATTATTTCGTATAATATACCTTCGTTATTTCTACTCTTGTGTTCGTGTTGTTCTTCCTTGGTCCTAACCTGGACCATAACACAAATATAGGACGAAATGGCCGTCCAAGTGCTTTCTGCATTCTGTTGAAGTTTCTTCTAGACTCGATGAATTACTTAATTATTATATTTATATAAGATAATGGATGTTATTTCTCAATTTGATAGATTGTTATCATTTTAAACGTTATTTTTAGTGGATACTCGTATTTGAGTATATGCGCCATTTATTTATTAAATAGTATATTTAGTTATTTGGGTCTACTGGCCTGAATATTCGAGAAATTTTATTTAAAAAAGGAGGGATTCCGCTTAAAGGCACGTTTCGAACTTTGCTTGATCAGCGAAGCTACTCCATGGCCGAGTCGGTTAAGGCACGTTGGGTCTTACGACGGTTTCCCAGAATGACACAGACTGAAATCCTGCCGGAGAGTGAATATTTTTCTTTAATAAGATTTATCAAATATCCAGGCCAGTTGACGCAAATAAACATACTATTTAATAAATAAAGGGAACGTCTATTCAAATACGAGTATTCACTGAAAATAACGTTTAAAGTGATATATATATATATTTATATATGTGTGCGTGTGTGCATAGGTTTGTGTGTGTGCGTGTGTGTGGCCCAAGTTTTTCTAAAAAGTAAACGGTTTCTATTTGCGTGCGTTTGCAATCTCTTGTTCTATGCCCAACGCGTACAGACATCATGGCATCAAACCTTGTATTTAGATATCCATCTGTAAATCAATATTCAAGAAAGATAGAAAATTATGTCTAAATTCATATGATAAGCGCCATTTTTCGTGATGTGTTAACGATATAATTACAAACTCTCTCATATATATATATATATATATATATATATATATATATATATATATATATATATATATAAATCATGTCATAGTTTTGCCCCGAGAAAAAGAATCTAGCGAAGATTCTCTGTCCTATAACTGCAAGTGAGATAGGACTAGTGATTCATCCGCTCTGAGATTGCGAATGGATCCAAGACAAGCGCTTAGAAGATATGTGGCACAAAAAAAAATGGCAGCAGACATCGCTTTCTATTTATGGTAGTTGACCTTGCAGGAGAAGTTGGTCCTTCTGAGTGACTATTTGCATCATTGTTGTCGGAACCAAGTTTTTCGAACGGTAAGATCTTCGAAAGTCGATGTCCTTTCCTCCTCGGTATATCGCCTACCGACGCAGCTAACTTTTTTTTTAATATCGCCCCAATGCTGGAGCCACTGACACTCTTGAAAACTTCAGTGTTTCAATGATATATTTGATAGCCGCGCTGTTAAAAAAAAAAGATGGCGCATGTATATGACTCAAGTTTCGTATATGATTGGTCATTTTTACATGGTTCAGATAAGTGATATATGATTTTTGTTCCAAACGGAAGATATCAGTGGCCTTTGGAGTAACTTGTAAGACTTAGCGAGTAACTACCCCAGTCGTCTACGGATATACGTTCTCTCACTTTTTCGTGAAGTGTAAACGTTTTAATTTCAAACTCTGTAGTCTTAATAGATGAAGTTGCTTTGGATGGAGAAGTTTGCCGTTTGGAATGTACGGAAGCGCATACGATTGCATTCTCTTTAACCATCGTTTATTTTTTAAACACTGTATTTATTTTTGTCTACCTGACTGAATATTACATAAATCTTATTATTACTCTGCCAAGGTTTAATTACTGCCGATGGACGCATATTGTTCTTTAATAGAATGTTTCGAATATACAGCCCGTTAAATGAAAATAAATATACTGTTTAAAAATTAAACAGAGCGTCTACTCAAATATGAGTATCCACTAAAAATAACGTTTAAATGATAAAAATAGATAGATAGATAGATAGATAGATAGATAGATAGATAGATAGATAATGAACTTAATGAGAAAGGCATTAATAGAATTAGAAAGAAAGAAAGTGAACAGAATGAGATAGATTTGAATAGAATGAAATATGTAGATAGATAGATAGATAGATAGATAGATAGATAGATAGATAGATAGATAGATAGATATGAACCGAGGAAAATAGCTAAGTAAAAAAAAGAAGAGATTGCCGGGGGAGACAGCGAAAAAAATACAAAGTAACAACACACGTAGACATTAACAGCTGTATGTAAATGTATATAAATATATATACACAATCATGCAAGCGCGTATATATTCTCTCTCTCGATATATATATATATATATATATAAAATCCTTAGCAAATAACATTCGTTGGTCTTTAATCAGCCCTATATAGAGAGAGAGATTTATTGATTTTATATATATATATATATATATATATATATATATATATGTGTGTGTGTGTGTGTGTGTGTGTGTGTGTACGTTTGTATGCATTCTACATCATCAGTCTACTTTGTTATCATAAGAAATAAAAATAAATAAATAAATACATCGAAGATTAAGCAAAGCTTCCAAGCACTTGCATAATGTCTTATTAAGTTGCCCCCAGGATGATTAACTGTTCCTGTGAACGACGTAATTAAACTTGACTAAGTCCACCATCTTTTTATACTGAAAGAAATAAAAAAATGAAATCCACTCTGTCACAAATTGAAAGCACGGATGTTGGTTAGAAAATCGAAGAAAATATAAGGCATAATAAAAATTTCAAAAGTACATACAGATTGAATTTTCTTTCTAGTAAAACTTTCAATATATAATGAATAATTACTGTGAATATATGACAATTACTTTCAATATATAATGAATAATTACTGTGAAATTACTTTCATTTACAGCCGTATCTGCAAATAAAAAGTTGGTAGAAAAAAAAACACTGTATAAAATAATTCACTGAATAGATGCTGAGTAATAACCTTTTGGGTTTGTTTTTTGTTTTGTTTTTTATGACAGAAAGGGACACGCAAGAATAAAGGACACAAAGGACAAATAGTTTACCTATGAGCCGTTAATGTTTCATAACAAAATCCCTAATCAATTAGTCGCTGGTCATTCAAATAACCATTCTTTGAACAATCATACAACCATTGAATACGAAGAATTCTTATTTATTGACCTTTACATATAGTACGGGACTCACCCAAGGTGATGTCAAAAGAGACTTTTCACTCAATGTGCTTCAGAATAGCAAAATACATTTTTATTGATTGATTCTCCAGAATCTATCTTACAAGTGTCTAAATCTACCATTCATCCATGGTTAGAATATTGCTGCCACATGTGGTCCAATGCCACTGCTTTTTCTCTCCTTGATCTCCTTGATAGATGGAAGTGGAGTAGTAACCACAGTGGCGCAAAATGTGCTAACTCAAGGATGGTCAACCTGTGGCGCATGCGCCATAAGTGGCGCATTGGATGCTTACAAGTGGCGTATTGCGTCGGTAATGATTGGTTTTTGGCGATCATTACCATGTGAACATTTTCCAGAAATGAGAAAACGTGCCCAAAGATATGTTTGTCTCTTTGGAACTACGTACAGATGCGAGCAGTCATTTTCTTCCATGAAAATGATCAAAAGCAAACTGAGGTCGCGACTGTCCGATTCCAACTTGAAAAATTGTATGTTGCTTTCAGTTCTGAATTTAACTCCTAATATTGCTGGTTTGGCAAAAACAAAGCAGAATCAAAAGGCACATTAAAGTTATTTATGTTTATTTTGCCTATGTAAACATTATAAACTCTGCCATGTCCCAGCCTCTGCAAAATCTGAAGAGAAAAAAAAAGTCAAAGCATTGATTGATGGCCCCCCCTTTCAAAACTCCTTGATACGCCTCTGGTCATAAGCATATATTTTTCAAATAAATAGATTTTATTATAACTTTAAAATCTGTCCATATTACAACACGTACTGAAAGGAAGTGAATGTTCGTGTGGCGCATTTAAATTAATTGTACAAAATCTTGGCGCATGGAATCAAAAGGTTGGCAACACCTGTGCTAACTGATTAAATGAATGAATTTAACAATAAATATTTTGGTGAAACTGCATTACTATCTCGTTTGGATGCAGAGAAAAAAATAAATATCTTGTTTTCTATATCTTTGTTAATGCAAAACATAATGATGATTTACATTCTGTAATTTTGAGATTAGATCTTATTATTCTAAGAAATTGTTCAGAACATTGATCAAATTCTTCTTTCTTCGATGAGGAGCTATCATCATTTACACTATTTACAAGCAATAAATTATCCTCATCTTCGTTGTTGTTATCACAACGTTTCGGCCGTTATGCTCTCCAACGTTCATCAGTTAGTTATCGATCTGAGTAAACTTACAGGTAATTCTAAACTGAATCGTTTATTTAATTTATGGGGATAGACTTTTCGTTCCACTGTGCATATCAAAGGATATCTCGTCTAGTTTGAATTCCAGTTGAGTTCATTACATTTACTTGGAAAAGGTTTGAATTCATCCCCCGGGTATGGGTTAAGTAGCAAGTCAGACTGAGTTGTTAGCCTTGGATGGCAACCATTCTAAGAGAAAAAAAAACTCTGAATTAAAACCACCTGCTGCCTTTTAGGACCTACTTCTTTAGGTAAAGGCTAAAAGAATGACACTTCAAAAACAAATCCACCTGTGAGTGGAGGCAGAAGGTAGCCTCAACATCCCTGGTGCAAAAGGAACAGGCAAGCCATTGCAGTATTCTGCCTTGAATGTGATCATGAACAACAATTGTGAGATGGAAGAGGGTACTGACCACAGCGGCGCAAAACAGGTGAATAAAATAAAAAAAAATGAATGATAATTGATCAATATAGAAGGAGATATCGAAATATAACAAGCTCAAGATTCCCATCAATACGATTAGAGGGATCATTAGAAAATGGAAGGAACATGGCCTGGTCACTAGTCAGCTTCGAAAAGTACACTTGCGTAATATGAATGAACGAACAGCTTGACCCATGTAAATGCAGAAAGTATTATATTTCCAACTCGAAGAGAATTTCGGAAGTGAAGAATGAGCAAGGATGCAATTACAACGGATAGACCTGCATTAATGGACATGTAGAAAGACTTTTTAACCCTTCACGAGGAGGCTTGACTGTTGTTGGCTAATCTCCATCTTGAGTAACCAACTTCACTGTGGGACAAAATATTATGGTCTCTCTCCGGCAAACAGTTTCAGATACGTTAGATAAAGGGAGACACTTTATAGAAGTCGCGAGATGGTGTTTCGAATGTTATAAAGGTTACGGCAAAATTACATCCCACATATACCTTCTAGAAATACCTCCGACATAATAGTAAGACGTTAGTGACAATGATTTCTTCATCTAGCTAATGTCATACCATTATGTGCGAGTTAGTTCTGGGAGGTATATGTGGGTGGTAATTCTGACGCACCCTGTATATCATTCAGAGCACTATACCGATAGGTAAACACGGTGGCAAAATTATAATGATTTTAGGGTTGGTTTTCTTTCGTTGGTAAACGCACCTTATATATCTTTGAAGGAATAGAAGCCGGTGATGTGTATTTCATATATTGAAAAAACATTTCCCAAACTATAAACTATCTTGGGAAGCCTACTTTGCTTTGGGACAAAATATTATGTTCTGACGGGAATATTTTTCATGGGAATATTTCGAGATATATCTGGAAAAAGAAGAACACTTCATATGATTCCCAAAATACCATCTTAGCCGTTAAACATGTGCGTCAATGTATAATGATTTGGGGTTGCTTTTCTCCAGTAGTACGGATGAACAACGTGTCGAAGAAAAAAATGCATCCATCTATTTACACAATATTGTTCGGATTGTTATCCTCATCGTTATTGTCGCATTAAAAAAAAGAGATTGTAATATGAGCTCTAGTAAAGAACAGTTACTCACCAGTGTCCCCAAGTTGATAAAAAGCGTTGGCTGATTGATCCTAACAGTGACTTGACCCAAATGGTAATGAGCTCAATACCTAACTTCAACAAAAACTTATCAAGGCGAATTAACGGAAACTGAGATATCCACGTGCATGGTATCCGGAATTAGAACAATCTACCTCCGTGAACTAAACAAAGCGTTTGGTTCGAAATTCCCACAAATATCACCTGAAGAAGGCCGGAACGTACAACGGCCGAAACGTCGTGAATGTGACAATAAAGATGATGACGACACTCCGAATAATGTAAATAGTATAAATAGTTGAAATACCTCATCTTAGAAACATGGACAGATGCATCCATCTGTCAAATTTCTCAAACTACCAAGACATTGGATGTTTCAGAAACATAACAATTCCAATACTCCTGCAACGAAAACGAAAGAGTGATTTTACATGTAGAAAACTAAACTTCGAATCTTGATATATTAGGGCAAGATATAAAAATAATGCTGGGATCCAACCCCCTGCCAAGCATAAGATATGCAGATGAATAGCAGGCCCAGAAAGAAAACTGCAGAAACTACTTGATAAGATAGCGAGAGAAAAGGATTAACTAACAATTGCTAAAAGAATGCATGATGGTCAGCAAGAGAAACAGCTCAAGATGCGAGCCACGAATTGAAGATGCCAAAACCTTGCAAGTACAAACGTTCAAATATCTGGGAAGGTTTTTAACATAACACTTAGGTATTAATTTACAATTCTATTTCATAAACTAGTTTCTAAGATTCGCATTTAATTACTGTTTAATTAAATGCAAATTAAGACAAATTATTATCAAAAGTAAGCCGCGTCACATATCGCCGTTAATAATTAATAAAACTATAAGGTTACTTTGCGTCTGAGGTAATTGTCTATCAGACGCGGATTTCAAATATCGACTTTTGTAAACAGCTGTAATATATGAGGTTAAGTCAAAAATTATCCGCACTTTCGCCATAATATATATTTCTGTTCACCTATGCTTATAGTTGATACCATTGTAGTCACTTGATCGAAGTTTGAGCTTGATCACGCCAGTTTTCTTGCTGCTGTTTCTTCGCTAGCAGAGTTCCCGAAGGGGGAATAAAGAGCAGTGATCCAAATCTGCGGAGAAAGTGCTACCTCATCGATGTTAACTCGACAGTTCGCCATTACCATCTCCCGAACTTCGTCACTGTTAGCGGTTGACGGGAGTCCGGCCACTTTTAAATTTTGCGTTCTAATCATACACATTTCTACCCAATAGTACATTGTCGCCTGAAATAAAGGAATCAGATAATTGCTCTTTGTTCCTCTTTGGTGGACACTGCTAGTGGAGCGGCCACGTTTACATTGTAACAGCAACAAGAAAACTAGTGCGATCAAGCTCTAATTTCGATCACAATAGTATCAACTATAGGCACGCATTAGCAGAAGGCAATGTGACAAACTTTATGCTATGGAGAAAGTGCGGATAATTTTGTACTTTCCCTCGTAATTAGTAACATGTCGTTAGCGATAGAGATCGTTGCTGACGTGATCAGAGGTGGATACGACACGTTGCGAAGCCACTTGACCTGCTAAGGATATGACGCCGATTACTGATGTGGATTCGCGATCAGTTTCGCATTCTATTTATCTTATCCTGCATTTCACATATCCCACTCGTTCAAAGGCTGTTATTAAATTTTAGTTCATTTTTTTTTAATATATTACTACCAGGCTGACAGATGTTTTTTCTACCTTGGGATACATCTTCAGTAAATACAATGGCGTGTGATCGTTGCGTTGCTGCCCGTAGGAATTTATAGATTTACACACGGCTTTTCTCTCAGTTCCTACTCAGTTACGTTTTCCTAATTTCTTCTTCTTTCCTTTTCTATCTGCTTTACGCACCCCCTTCTCTCGCCCACACACACACACATTCATATATATATATATATATATATATATATATATATATATATATATAGTTATTCTTTTTTTTATGGCTCATAATGAATGCAAGCGTTTTCTCAAAGAAGCAGAGTTACTGTTTGGTGATAAAATTAACTAATATATAGGATCTCGCAAGTTCGATCCTAGAGATTACTGGCGGCTCTACAAGAATTTGCTGAACAACAGCAAATTTTCAATGCCCCCACTATTCAATTACTTCGAAGTTCTGACATCTACAGAAGATAAGTTTGAATGCTTTGCTCGAAAATTTTCTTACAACTCAACACGCGACTAAATTGGAGTACCCACACACGATTTCCCCCGTAGAACAGAAAGTCTGCTGAGTGATATGTGCATAACCCCGTCGCAAGTCTCAAGGCATTATTTCCAAATGAGACTCCCATAAGGTAAGCGGAAGTGACGGGATCCCAGCCGTCGTCAAAAATAGATGTGCTTTCCGTGCTGGCTCCATTTCTCTCCAAACACTACAACTATTGCCTCCTGCTTTTCTGCTTGTTGGAAATCCTCCTCTGTAGTTCCTGCTTTAAGAACTCTGGAGAACTTTCTGACCCCTCTAACTATAACCCTATTAGTCTTCTACCGCTTTTCGGCAAAGTATTCGAGGCTTT